GGGGGGGGGGGGGGGGAGGGGGGGGGGGAAGGAGGTGAAGGGGGCCAGGGGGGGGGGGGTGAGGGCCCTATTGACTGCTTTTGTGGCACGGAGCCCTGGCAGCAGGTGCCTGCGGGTGAGCAGAAACCCCGTGCTCCCAACCAGCTGAGAGAATCTCCCCGTCTTGCGATGAAGGCAGCCAGACAGTGCCGGCCGAGCCTTTTGAACGCGGCTCCCTCCAGACCGCAGCGGTGCCCGGCCGTCACCCCCGTATCTTTCCACTAAGCTGGGGAGGCTGCCCTTCGCCAAAGGCAGGCCGGCACCAGCCAGAGGGAAAAGAGGGAACTCCCTGCTCTCCAGTGACACAATTCTGCCAGTCAGGCGCAGATATTTCCGCCCGCCAGCGGCTGGGGCGAGCGAGGGCTGCAGCAGGGCAGGCGGTTGCTTGCGGCACCAGGACTGCCCCCTTCGACCCACAGAAGCGCTGCAGTTCCTCGTCTGGGGGTGGCAGTGCCGAGGTGCTTTGTCTAGGGATGGAGATGACTCGGGGGCCACAGGCGCTCTCCAAAGTCTCCGCCTGTCGTTCTTGGGACGCTTTGCACTGGAAGAAAACAGGCTGCTCAAAGGCACTCGAAACACTGCAGGCTGTGCGCTCCCTGGACAAGGAGGCGAGACAAAGAGGGGGCTGCAGCCCCCCTTGCAGAATCGGCACGGAGATGTTGCCCTGCCGCAGGCTGGGCGGGGGAACAGGTGGGATGTTCCTGTCCTTTAGACGTAAGGACAGTCATCCCTGGATGGGGATTAAAGGGCCAGCGGGTCAGCCACGGGCCCTGCCAAGGTCACCACTGAAAAGGCAAGGTCGGCGGGGGGGGGGGCTTTGTTCTAGAGTCGGGGTCACTGGCTTCTTGGGTGTGGCAGCAGCACCTCGACTGGGTGAGTGGGAGGGCTGGAAGGAAGAGGGAGACGGACCACTCCCCCCCTTTGTCTCCAGCGGGAAGCCGGCAGAACAAAAGAGCGACAAAGGGGCCCGTGGCCAGCGGCACCGCCGTCCCTTCTGCCCTTCCAGGGAGCCCGGCGCTGCCTTCCCGTCCAGGAGTCTCTGCCCCGCGGCGCCGCCAGGCAGCTGCACCCAACCCTCCCGGAGGAGGGCGCGTCCACCCGCGGCGCCAGGAGAGAAGCGCCCGGCAGCCTGCGCAGGCAGGAGCGAGGCACCGCCTGCCCGCATCTGGGTCAAGGGCAGCACCGCGCGCGCCCGCACGCCCGCCCGTCCGGGGCTGCAAGGACGCGGCCACGGGCGCCCCGCCCGGCCCGGCCCGCCGCCGTTACCTTGGCTCCGATCTGGTTGCCGCACTGGCCCGCCTGGATGTGGACGATCTCCCTCATGCTGCGGGCGGCTGCGGGGCTGCTGCGCTGGAGGACGGGCGGGCGGCGGCGGCGGCGCGGGCGGCGGCGGAGCGGCTGCAGGAGGCGGGCGGCGGCGGGCGGCGGGTTTTATCGGCTCTCCCGCTGCGCCCGGGCCGGGCGCTGACGTCACCGCGGGCGGCTCGGCCAATCAGGCGCCGCCGCCGCAAATGCGGCAGCATCCCTGCAGCATCAGCACCAGCGGCGCATCCCGCGGCGGCGGCGGCGGCGGCGGCGGCGCTGGCACGTGGGGCGGCCCGGGCGGCGGAGGGCAAGGCCGGGCGCCGCCCCCCTCGCCTGTCCCGGGCGCCGGGGCGGGCAGCCGGGCGCCCGGGCCCTTGGCCACTGCCGGGCGACAGTGCAGGTGGGGCGCGCCAGTCACCCCGGGACAAGACCCCGCCCGGCGCCCGGAGCTGCCGGGCGGCCGCCCGCATCCCGGTGGAGCGCTCGGGGCTGCTCGGGGCTATTCCCGCCCGCCAACCCGCCCCCCCATCGTCTTTCTGGGATGCCCAGGAGAGGGTCCCCGCTGCCCTCCGCCGCGTCCCGCAGGGCTCCGAGCCCCGGGGCCGCGCCTCGCTCCGCGCTCGCGTGCGGGAGCCACGCCCGGAAAAGGAGCGTCTCCCTGGGCAGCGACAGAGCGCCTGCTCAGGAACGGCAGCGGCGCCTCCGTGGCCGGGCTCCCGCGGGTGGAGCGGGGAGGGGGCCACTACCACGCAGGGGGCGCGAGCAAGCCTTGCCCTCCCCGTCCACACCCAGGCCTTGGCGAGAGAGCGGCTGGCCTTTCCAGGCCAGTGACTGGGGATGATGGGACTTGTCCAAGGCATCTGGAGGGCAACACACTGGGGTCAGGCCGGGCTGGGCCGGGCTGCCCGGCGAGGCTTGCTTTGGGAAAAACCCGCGAGCCGGCGGCCCGCTGGGAGAAGCCCGGCGGCGCAGGGACGGAACAAAAGCCGGCGAGGAGAAGCCCGCGCCCCAGAGGCGAGCCCGGCACCTGCCCTTTGTTCGGCCCGCGGCACCAGCGGGGGCTCCGGCAGGAAGCGCCGCTCCTCCCCCCTCCCCTGCTCCGGCTGGGCGGAATGATGGGGAGGGGCCGCGGATCTGCTTCCTGTTGCTTCCCCCTCCGTGTTCTTTGTGTCTGGAACAAAGGCCTGTCCCACGGAGGGCTGAGCCGCCCCTTCGCGCGGGAGAGAGGCGATGTTTGGCTTGGGTGGGTGTGCAGGGATTGCGGAAGGGGAGGCCGCCGCCCCCCCCGGGCAGGGAAGAGTGGGGCAGAGCAGCTGAGCTCTGGTGGGGTCCACGGCCGGCCGGGAGTCACAGGCAACGCCCTCCTCCACCCCCCCCATCTACCACGGCTGAATGGCGAAGGGGCCCAGTGCTCAGATCAACCCCTTTCCCACCCACGGCAGCCCCTTCCAGCAAAGGCGATCCTCTCACTGCGGAAGGCAGGAGGGCCACCCTGCGCGCGGGTTTAGCTCTCAGGCACGCACTGTCTGAAATGACCAAAGTCAGGGCTGCGGCATTTCTGGGAATGGCTGCTCTCTCACACGCCCAGAATCATGGCTGCTCGTAAGGACTCAGTGGTACTCTGGGCGTACGCAAAGACACCTTCGGCGTCTTTCTCGTTCTTCTTTCCGCTCTGCCTTGGCAGCAGGGGCGGCCCTCGTGGGGACGGGTGAGGCGGTTGCCTCTGGCGGCAGACCCTGGGAGGTGGCGGCCAGGTGCTGGAGGAGGGGTCTGTGCGCCTGGCCACCCACGCTGCTCCTCCAAGCCGGCCTCTGGGCCCGGGGGGCAAGGATGCCCCTCTCATCGGCGCTGCGGACAGACTCCGCTGCCCCTCTGCCCGTTCATGCCTGGCGCGGAGGAATCATCTTTTTCCGCATCTCACGTAACAAAACGCCTCGGGCCCGTTTCTGTGGCAGCAAAAGCGAGCCAGGGCCTGATCCTGGCCTGGGCTGAGCCCTGCTTGCTGTGCCACGGCAAAGCTGCCTCTTCCCTGGGGTTGTCCCAAGCGTTCCCTCACCCGACTCTCTGAGCCACTCGAGCCCCTCCAGACTGCGGGCACCTCTGGCTGGCGGTTAGAATGGAAGGGGAGCGGGGAAATGAGGGGGGGAGGAAGGGGGGGTAGGAAGTGCGCAAAAAAAGAAGGGAGGCAGGGAAGACGGGAGAGAGGAAGCAAAGCAGGGATGACTTGCGAGGAGGAGGAGGAGGAGGAGGAAGGGCTAGCACACACAAGGAAAGCCCCACGTGCCCCATGAGGACGTGGTCGTGAAGGCCGGGCTGAAGCAGCATCCGTCCTGACTTCCTGTTTGTTCTCCGCTGCTTTTCCACGTTTGCCTGCTTCCAAGGCATGAGCTGGCAACCGTTTACACTCCCAGCTGCTTATGAAACTCAGCCGCTGCTGCGCCCCCCCCCCCCCCCCTAGCCGCGTGGTGGCCGCAGGCTGGAGCAAAGCTGCCGCTCCTCCGAGTCCCCCCCCGCCCCCCGCGGGTCCGGCGTGGCCAGGCCCCCTGGCCGTGCAGCCCTGCCCTCCGCGGCCCCTCCCACAGCCGAGTGGCAGCGTGACCAGCGAAAAGAAGGGCAGGCGCAGCCCCGGCGAGAAGCGGCCCAGTTCCTGGAACGGCGAGTCGCGCAGCCGGCAGGGCCGTGGCAGCGAGCAGCAAGCAGCGAGGCCGCGAGGCCGGCAGGCCGGCCGGCCGGGGAGAGGACAGGGCGGCCGCAGGACTGGGCTGCTGCTGGGCGATGCGGCAGGGAAGTGCTGGAGGGAGGCAGGGGGGCGGCTGTGGGCGCAGACCCCAGCCTGGCCAGCCCGCCTGCTGGGCCACTCGGGCGGGAAGTAGCGGACGGGCCCAGAGCACTGCTCCATCCTCCCCAGGTTGCCAACACGGACCGGCAGCAGTGGCTCTCTGGGGCTTCCGGCCCCCGTTTTCCCAGTCCGGTCCGGGGAAGCCGGGGACCGAACGTGTGGCCTGCCCTCCCACTGTGCCGCAGCCCTTCCCTGGGAGCCCCACGGGGACCAGCTGGGGCCGCTTGCTCAGCAGGGACTGGGTGACAGAAGCCGCCCCCTCATCTCCTGCCACCAGAGCCGCCAGCGAGGCTGAGCAGCGGAACTGCTCTGCAGGGAGAGCGGGAGAGCCCGTCCCAAGCCCCCCCCCCCGCCATCCCCCAACCTTCTCATGGAAAGCTCTGCTAGGGCCAAAGGGCCATCTCCTCTTAAGACGACCTTCCTGGGTTTTCCCTGCCGCTTCCAACATTTCCTTTGCCGCAGAAAGTCCACAAAGGGGAAGACGGTGGAGGAGATGCACGAGGCCTTCTCATCGGAGGCGCTCAGAGCCTTCTGTGGGGAAGCATCCAGAGACTGCAGGAAAGGACTGCGCTTGCCCAGGCGCTTGGGCAGCGGAGGGAGGGCAGCCCTGCACTCGCTTCCCAGAGAAACCCCCACCGGACCGGTGGAGCTTCCTGCTGGGCAGAAGGCACGGGGTCGCCCTGCAAGGGCCACTCTGGCCAGAGAAAGGAGGAAATGCCCCCGACCGGAGATCCGCAGCAAGGTCCGTGTGCCACGCCTTGTGTGTGGACATCGCATGCCTTTCCACGGGGCCCATCATGCCAAGAGACGCCCGGGGGCTTCTCCCTTGCCCCCTGGGGAGGGCCTCTTCCCTGTGCTTCGGCTGGGCCCACAGAGGGGAAGAGGGAGGGACAGGGCTCGGTCAGGGTGCTAGAGGCTTGGAGGCTGCTGGATCCGGAACCGCTCCTTGGGCGAAGGAGAGCAAGTCAAATATATGATCTGGCCAGGGCAACTTCTTCTTCCTTCTCTTTCCTCCTCCTATATTCTTTATTTACTTATTTTATACTGTTAATTTTAATTTTATATTATTGCATCTCAGTGTATTTTTTGTATTTTTGTATTTATTGGTAATTTATTATGTTCTATTGCATTTCAATGTATCTTATTGTGTTGTAAGCCGCCCCGAGGCTTCGGCAAGGGGCGGCATAGAAATGTAATAATAATAATAATAATAATAATAATAATAATAATAATAAAAAGTCCCGTGGATGGGAAGCGAGTCTGGCTCCTCCCACCTCTGTCTCCGAGGGAGCAAGGAGACGGCTGTGTTTCTCTCCAGCAGAGAGCGCGCGCGAGCGAGAGAGAGATCCACTGCCCCCCCCCCCCCGCCTTGCCTGCTCCCAGACTGCGGCTGAGCTCCTTCGGCAGGGTTGTAACTCGCTCGGCTTCCACTCTGCAGGGCTCAGCTTTATTTGACCAGCGTGCGCGCTCTGGGCGAGGGGCCCACGCGGACGCGCGGGCAGGGGCACCCCAGCAGCATCCGTGGCGTCACGCGGGACAGGCCGCGGCAGGGGCCAGTCATGCGCCCGGGCCCGATTTCCCGCTTGCCCTGTGCCAGCCTCTCCCGCCAGCACAAGCCTGGCACCGTCCAGAGGACTGCCAAGCCGGAGCGGAGGGACGAACAGCAGCTCCCGTGGGCTGGCTCTTGCTCGCTAACCTTGCGAGGGCGTCAGTGGGAGTCCAGGTAAGAGTTTACACGCCCTTGGAAAACCTCCCCCCCCCCCTCGCTCCCTCCCTCTCTCTCAATAAAGGGAGTTGATCAGAGCACACTGAGGGACAGTCTAGATATTGAGCTGGTTCAGAAACCACACGTTCCAAGGCGCAAAGCTCTGCCGATTGAGACCGATGGTTGGTCGATTTACTGCCCCGTTCCTGGCTTTTGCCCCTGCTTCTGTGGCCAGCCCTCCGTGCTTCCGGCAACAAGCCTCCGGCGTCTCAGCTTGCACCTCCTGACCTGCGTGGATGCCTGGGAGCAGTGACTTCGGTGTGAATATGGAAAGGCGAGGCTGTGCCTGGCAGGGGGGGTCCGAACACACAGGAGCAGCAGTGCAGGGTTTGCTGGGCTCGGCACGATGCGCCTCACGCGTCGTCTCCCGCTGGGGGTCCAGTCCCCCAAGCCGTGTGGCTCTTCTCCTGGAGGGCACACGCTCGGGCAAAGTGCAGCGAGCTTCAAGGGAAGTCCTCGGCCTGCAGAAGCAGCGTCTTGACAGAAACTGGAAAAGCAGGCGGCCTCGCGGGACTCTTCCTGGGAGCCCCGTTGAAGGAGAGGAGAGAGGCCGCCAGCCGGCGCTGCTGCTTCTCCTCCCTCTCTGGCTGCCAACGTGCTCATCTGTCTCCCGCCAGGAGCAAAGCTTGAGAGCCTCATCGACGTTTCACGCCACCACCAGAGCAGGCAGGGCCCCTTCGTTTCCGCGGATGGCCTCGTGGCACCTGCTCGGAAGAGCCGCACGCCCTCGTGCATCCCCCGCACCACTCGAGGGCCGTGCAGAGAGGCCTGCGTTGGTGCAGGGGGCAGATGTCCGGTCACCGTGGCTGCGGGAGGAGGGCTTGGCTGGCCCAGGCAGGCCAAGGAGGCCGCTGCTGAGCAGGGGAGCCGGGCAGCAGCTGCGGGAGCAGGCCTTGCCTCCTGCAGGCGTGCCGGGGCTTCTCGCGGGCGCCTGGCGGCCAAAGGCCGCCAGAAGACAAGAGAGCAGTGGCCACCTAGGCGGCTTCTCACCTCCTGGTGCGGCCGGCCGGCCGGCCCCGCCTCCGCCAAGGGTCTCCATCCGCCTGCCCTTCCAGCTCAGCCGCGGGAGGCACTGCTCTCCAGGCAGAAGGCGGCCCCTCCAGCCCCGCTGTGGAGGGCAGGCGCCCAGCCCTGGCCCACCTGGGCGCTCCTCCGCTACCAGAAACACAGCACCACCTCCTTCAGGGTCCTCCTGAGCTCCTGGCTCCGGAAGGCGTAGATGACGGGGTCCACCACCGAGTTGCAGATGACCAGGATGAGGTAGAGGCCGAAGTACTGGAAGTAGCACTTGCACAGGGGCTGGTTGGGGCAGAGGAGGATGAGCAGCAGGTGCAGGAAGAACGGCCCCCAGCAGATGAAGAAGACCCCCAGCAGGATGGTGAGCGTGGCTGCCCCCTTCATCCTGGCGAACGGGGGTGCCGCCTGCTTGCGCCGCAGGCTGGAGATGCGCCGGGCGTGCCGGTGAGCCAGCGAGAACATGTGGATGTAGAGGCCCACGACCAGCACCAGCATGGCGGCGAAGAAGATCACCAGGCACAGGATGACGGCGGCGCTGTCGTAGGCGATGAAGATGCTGCTGGAGACGACGCTGGCTGCCCAGACGGCCGCGGCGAGGACGGCCGCCCGCCGGAAGGTCATGATGCTGTGGTAGCGCAGGGCGTAGAAGATGGTGATGTAGCGGTCGACGGCGATGAGGCCCAGGAAGGAGAGCGAGGACAGCAGGGAGCTGCAGATGAGCATGTCCATGACGTCGTCCACCAGCCGCACGGCGGCCGGCTGCATGTCCAGCAGGCCGTGCTCGATCAGCAGCATGAAGGTGGTCTCCCCCACGTTGCTGGCGCTCACCAGCATGTCCGAGACGGCCAGGCAGCAGATGAAGCCGTACATGGGCGAGTGCAGGTTGCGGTTCCTGAGGATGGCGGCCACCACCAGCAGGTTCTCCACGAAGCTCGTGGCCCCCAGGGTCAGGAAGAGCTCGTTGGGGACCACCACCTGCTGGTCGCTGCAGCAGAGGGTCTCGTTGGTCCCGTTGGTGGCAGGGGGGCCGGCGGTGGCATTGGGGGCCTCCGGCAGCATCCTCAGCGGTGACACCACGGGCATTGGGGCCGCCCCAGGGGCTGCTGCTGGAGGCAAAGAGGCAAAGCCGAGGTGCCCGGAAGCGTGGGATCCCCGGATGGTTATGGCTGCAGGCGAGGCATAGCCGGGCGGTCTCAAAACTCACCGGTGGGCAGTGGGGCCTCCCAGGCACCTCTGGGGCTGCCTCCCGCCCGGGAAGATCCAGGCGTGTGGAAAGGAAGCTGCCGCCACGGGCTTGAGGAAAGCAGCGGACGCCTTCCTTCCAGGGGGCTTTCTTGGCAAGACGTTTCCTTGGACTGCCTTCCCCTGCTGGAAGGCTCTCCCATTCCCCCTTCCCCTCTCCGGGGGCCAGCCCTGCTGCCGAGAGGGCGCGTGGGGGCTGCTTCCCGGCTCCCTCTTAAGCTCTTCTCTCCCACTTGGCCTCCCTTCGGGTGGCACGGTGGCTGCAGCCGTCCTGGCCCAAAGTAATTGATTAGTCGTCCACAGCGGAGAGAGAAAGGGCCCATTCTCTCCCCGGCTTTAAAGTGGAACGCCCGGCTCCTCCTTCTGGGGAGGGCGGAGGGCGATCCACATGATAGCAGCCCCAGCTGAGCGCGGAACGGCAGGGAGGTTATGAAACAGCCGGAGAGCCCAGGCGAGGACCAACCCGTGCCTCGGCCCGGAGGGCGGGTGGGGGCGCGGTGCCGAGGCGCAACTCACTGCCCCGGCGTGGCCCTCGGTGGGAAGCGGTGGCGTGTGGGCCACAGGGAGACCGCCCTCTGGCCAGGACAAAAGTGTGGCCCCGGAAAAGCACATCGGCGGGCAGGTCCTTGGCACGGGCCACGCCCTGGAATGGCGGGACGGGGCGGACTGAGCACGGGCCCTCGGGGAGGCGGCCATGGAGCGGGGCCACTACCAAGGGCCCCGCTCCCGCTCCCGAAGCCCCCGTCTGCCACAGGATGCAAGGAGTGCCTGTTCGATCAGGCTCAAGGCCTCCCTCGCGCAGGCGGCTACTGCTTCCGACGGCTGCTGAGTGGGTGGTCCACTGGAAGTTCACACGCAGGACACGAACGCAAGGCCTCCTGCCTGTGCTCCCTGCAGCTGAGTGCAGGAGGCCCGATCACGGGCCCCCGCCGGCCCTCTTTGCCGGGGCTCTGGGCAAGGCCCGCGTCATCCACCCAAGCGGCACCGCTGCCCCTTGTGGCGGCAAATCCCCTCCCTTTCGCCCATCTCGGCTCTGCTCCCGCGCTGCTCCATGGAAGCCCCACTGGCTGCCTTCTCCACCTCACAGCGCCCCCCACCCCCCGCCTTGTTGCCAACCCCCGCCATGGGAACACCGCCTCCCAGGGGACTGGCCCCAGATCCTCGGTCCCTCGGCTTGCCTTCTTCCGCGTCTTCTCTGACCGGCTGGCCGACACGCGGGGCCTGCCAGAGCCCAGCTGGGACGCCGAGGGTCCTCCCTGAAGCTGCTCCCAACCCATGGGAACGTGGGCACCACGCACATTTCCAATGCCGAGAGAGGCCTGCATCAAGGAGCGTCTTTAAGAAACGCGTTGCCATCGGTCGGGGCACCTTGCAGAGTCAGGTTGTAACACGACGATGCATCTGGAAGTTCAGCCTGACACGGCCCGGTCCGTGTGGGGCGAAGGCTGGGCCGGGCGGCTGGGGCCACGGAGCCTCGCTGAGGCTTGCAACCGAGCCGGCGGACTCGCCAGGAAGCCTCGTGGCCAGAGCCCGCCCGGCCCGGCCCTCTGGCCTCCGGGGGGCTCCCCAGGGACCGCAGGGCCGTGGGTGTGCACTCACTCGGCCACTTCCAGGCAAGCAACACCCGGAATTCGGCAGCTTGCAACTAGTGGGCTGTAAAAATGTCACGACCAGCACGGCTGCCGGGATTTATGCTTCGGGAAACACTTTGCTATTCATGGACTTCCGTTCTAAAGAAAAATGCGAAGTGGTTGTGCCCTTGCCTGACACTCGTGAGCACAGCCGGTCTCCCTTGAAGGAACAGCACTTGGTCTGTGCACCCCAAGCGGGATGCAGCGGGAAGAGGACCCAGGTCCTCTGCCCCGCAGGCCCTCCTCTGGAGCCCTCCTCCTGCAGTCCGGCTCCTGGGCAGGGCCAGGCGCCAGATGCAGCCGCTCACGTCCGTTCAGTGTGGGGCGGCCCTCCTTTTGCCCATCACTCGGAGAAGAGCTGCACCTCGGGTTGGCACAGGCCGCCACCTCCCCAACGAGGGCTGCCCAGCCTCTGCCTGATCTCCCAGCAATGCCCCGAACACGCCGCTCTCATCTCCCCATCTCTATCCTGCCTCAAAGCCCACGCTCCCCGGGCAGAGTGCGGCCATCCAGTTCCACTGAGCAAACGCTCCGCCATCCCCAAGCTTCCTTGAGTGTATTTCCCCCAAACGACGCGCTCAGCTCCTTGCTGGGGGTAGGAAAGGCCAGTGCGACGGGGCACTTGCCTCTCTTCCGCGGAAGAACCTCCCCTTGGGGCCGCAGGCCGATCGTGCCTGTTGCGGACCAGAAACGCCCCACGCCGCTGCTTTCCGGCCGGGCAGACACGCCACCCGGGCTGCCCACACCCTGGCGGAGGCACTGACAAGGAGCGCTCCCCTCTCCCGCACAACGCCGTGGCCGGCCGTCTGGCAGGCGCCCCCAGAGGGCGGGGAGCGCGCAGCCGTGGCCGCCCGACTCGTGGCACGCTCCGGCACCGGTGCCTCCCCAGCAGGCTCAGCCTGGGCGGGGGCCCTGGGGGGCCTTCCGGCGCCGGCTCTGTGTTGCCCGCGGCACAATGGGCGCTGCTGGCAGGGAGTCGCTTCCGCCTCCTCGCGGGGCTCTGAGGGCACTGCAGGCACGGCCTCTTATTCGTGTGCGGGTGAAAGGAAGGCGCAGAGACAGCTCACGGCTGACTGTTTATTTTCTGGCAGGGAGGTGGGGGGTGGCCGGCAGCTGCGGGGCAGGACTCAGTCCCACTCCCCACCCTCCCCGTCCGGGTTGTCTTCCCGCGGGGGCTCCTGGAACTGGATGTTCGCCAGCATGTCCCGCATGGCTGCCATCAGCCTGTTCACACCCTGGTTGAGGTTCTGGCCCGCACCCGGCTCTTCCTCTCCGCCGGCTCTGACTTCGCCCTGAAACACAGCACCCGGCGCGGAGGGGAGCGCGAGCGAGGAGCTCTGCGGGGCCGGCCGGAGCACCCGGCACGCTCCTCCAGGTCACGGGTGGCCCGGCCGCTCCCGAGTTCCCCTGGGCACGGCCAAGGGCATGGTGCCTTCGCCTTCAGACCCCAGAGAGCTTCGCCAAGGCGGAATCCCGCCCGCATGCGGAAGGCGGGCCCTGCTGTGCTCACGGCACACGCCGCCAGAGGCTGCGGGGCCGCTGCAGGTGCGCTTGGGGTCTGTGCAGCCTGCTTGCCGCTGTTCTGGACGGGGAGGCCCTCCTACTCCCTGTGGCCATGGCGGCCGGAGGGGAAAGGCCCTGGCCTGCCCGGGCGCTCAACGGCCGGGGTGTGGACAGATCCTGCACCTGTGAGACACGGCCCACCCCACCCGGAGAGCAAAGAAGGGCCCAGGAAACGGTCCATGTCCCCCGCTGTGGGAGAAGCCTGGCGGGCCCCGGGCCCCTTCCCCACACAACATACCTGCAGGTTGAAGTTTGGCAACAGTGAGCGGAAGAAGAGAGATAAAGTGCTTTCGTTGGCCGGGTGACCTGCCCTGGGAAGAGAAAGAGCAGGCCTCGCTCGTCACGACCGCACATCGCTACCTCTCGTGGGGGTGGGGAGCCGGGCTCGAGGGGGTGGGCGGCTCCACGCCAGCCTTCCCCGGCCTGGTGCCTGCGGGACGCGGGCTCACTCTCTCCGCCTGTCCCTGCTTCCCTGCCCAGCAGGTGAAGGCAGAAGGGTGCGGGTGGCCGTCCTTGACTGGCTGGGCTGGCTGCTGGGCTGGCGTCGTGACACGGAGCGAGTCGCATACGGATTGCTAACAAGAAGCATCCGCCGAGCTCAGGGTGGCGGCGTTCGCTCAGAGCCGTTCCAGGATAGTTCCAGCGTGCAGTGCCCCTCTCCCTTCCGCTCCAGGCGAAACGGGCTCCTCCTCCGGGGAAGTCTGTGCTACTTATGGGCCAGACGGTGCGCATGCTGGGCATCATTTAACCTGGAGCGGACAGCAAGCCTCTAGGCTGAGAAAGCCACCCCCTTCCAGTCCGTGGGGCCCCCCGAAATCCACAGGCAGCCTGGTTCTGGCTCTCCCCAGCCACGTGGCTCATTGCGCCCCCTGCCGACTGCGGCCTTCCAGCTGAGCATTCCAACCCCACCAGGTCCCATTCACAGTCTGAAATCCCCTTTGGAACAATGCATGTGGGGAGAAGCAGGCCCCCGAGGCCCACACAGGAGGCTGGAGCCTCATCCCTCTGCCCGAAAATTCCCAGCCTCTGCTCATGGCAGCGAAGAGGCTTCCAAAATGAATTCAGTAGGTACCACACCAAGCAACCAACTCTATGCAAAGCTACATGCAAACTGCAGGAAAAAAAAGACTGAAGGGAAAATAGACATACGTCCCCAGCTATAGCCTTATTTGAATAAAAATACCAATATTTCCCTCAAAATGAAAACAATTGATCAGCAATCATGAATGCCCAATCAAATTTCCTAAATACAGCCTGTAATTTCTACTGTGTACGTGGGACCGTGTTCCACCTTGAATGAAATACCAGTATTTTGGGGTATTTTGGGGTGAATGTTCTCAAACAGATGCAGGAGGTACCTTTCTGGCCTTGTGTATGAAATGAGGGAATCCAGAGGCGGCAGGGGATCAAACCCCATGATCGGCTGGGACGTGACTTCCTGGGAAGGAAAAGGCAAGCAGAACTGGCTGTTGTTCAGTTACCGAAAACATTTTGCCACCGCCTTTCAGAGGAAAAGGCTGCCACAGTGGCCAGCAAAAGGTAAACCAGAACAGAACAACACAAAAGGAAAAAGGGATTGGAACAGAGGAAGAAAACCCACCCTGACATCCGACAAGAAGCAGTTAGGCTTCTTGGGGGCACGCCGGGCGTCTCACCTTTCCCTCTGCCCCGCCACCACCAGAGAGCCCCCTGCAAGCATGCTAAGAACCGCACCATGTCTCCACTGCTGGTTTCAATCTGGTTTTATGATTCGATGCTTTGCTGCTTGTTTTCTTTTGGCTTGAATTTACACCCTTTCCCTTTCAATATCTGTACTGCGTATTTTTGGTGCACTGAATACCCTTCAGAGAACTTCAGCTACTGAGCAGTTTACCAGTCCAGTAAATGCACAACTTATACATGTGATGAAGCTCCTAGAGCAGAGGAACCCCTGCAGGAATGGCCATGACGGAGCCCCCGGCCGCAGGCCCACGACTGGAGACCAGACGGGAGGGGATGCACTGGCGAGGGCCATGGAGGTGAACGCAGCTGGTCTGAGGGACCGAAGGCAGCCGAGAGCTCTTCCCCGGAGCGGTGAGGGACCCAACAAGGCACAGGGCCCACGTGATGGGACCTGAAGTCCTGGGGTGGCTGTTGCGACTGGGGATGGGGGGCGCCTCAGTCCAGCACACCTGGGAGGCGCCAGATTGGAGGCGGCTGCTGTACAGGCCGTGGACTGGGCTGCGGGGTGCAGAGGGCTCCCACGAGGGACACTCCTGGGTCCTCAGGACTGGCAGGGCCAGGCACAGAAACTGGGGGCGCTGAGCACGGGCAGGATGCAGCTGGCACCTCCTCCCACCCTTGGAAGCCCGTCCGCCCCTCACCGGAGGCAGCGCTGCCGTGGCTTCCTTTATTTCCGAGAGGACCACATGGCGGTAGACGTTCCGGGGGGCGTTCTGGTACCTCGCCTTTCGCCTGCGCAATGAGCAAGAGGGGGGGTTACGTGGTGGGCAGGACCCTTCCCCATGCCCTCCCCTGGGCCTTGGCGGGACTCACTTCTGCTCCGCGTCCTCCAAGGCCGGGTCCCGGGCATCCACCCTTCGCAGCACCGCGTGCACGTTCGTCTCCAGCCAGGCCATGACGGCCGGGTCCTTCCAGAGGGAGTGGGTCCGCCCCACGTAGAGGGAGACCAGCTGGGTCAGGGCCGGAGGCGAGCTGCGGAGGCGAGGGCAGCCTTGAGGGGAGCAATCGGAGCCCCCGGACGGGTGGGAGCGTCCCGCCCGAGCCTCCCGGGGTGTCCCGCTGCGGCTGTGAGGCACCCTTGCCGGCCATCGCCTTGCCTAGGCCCGGGCAGGAGAGGACGAAGCGGGGCAGGCCGACCCCACCCCCTCGCTGGGACTGGGAGCAGAGGCCGAGAGAGGGCGGCCTGCCCTGGGCTCTCTGGGGCAGCCGGCAGGCAGTGGGAGGGAGGTGCTGGCCAGCCTCTCTCTCAGCAGGTGCCACCGCTGGCCCTGCCCGCCTCACCCCCGGCTGCCAGAGCTGGCGGCCACCATTGCCAGGTCGACCCCGCTGCTGCCTAAGCTCAGGGTGAGTTGCCCGGAGGCGAGTCCTTCGGGTCCTCACAGCTCCATCTGCCCCCCACCGGAGCACCCGCTCTCTGCTGCCTTGAGGGGACCACAGAACCGGACAAGGGCGCAACTCTGCCCCCGAGGTGCCCGATGCCTCCTCGCTCCCTGCAGACACGCCTCACCTCAGCTGGGCCTCCAGTCCAAAGAACGCGTGGGAAGACACCGCGGAATCTGGCTGCACACTGCAGCGGTCCAGCAGAGGCATCAGAACTGGAAGGGGGCGGGGGCGGGAGGGAGACGGTCAGGAAGGTCCCGGGCGCCGTGGGGCAGTGCCCCTGCGTCGCAGCCTGGCGTTCTGCCCGGGGGGCTGTCGCCAGGTATGATTCATTCATCACATCTCTAAGGTATCCCCCAACTAATGTTCCCCGGGTGGATTACAGGCAGTTAAAGAGCCCCAGGCACCACGGAGCCGCCCGAAAGAGAGCAGAGCAGAGGCAGCGCGTGTCCTTCCCAGGCTACTCCTTCCAAGCTGAGGCAAACGGAAAGCCAGGAGTGGATGGCAGAGGAGCTCCTTCACCAGCATCCATTAGAAGTGGGCCCTGCGACTTGCGCCTCGTTTGCTGTTCCTCGAAGCACAGAAACGGGTTTGGAACGAGACGCATTTGCTAAAACTGAGGTGCCTTTGAGCGCCGAGCAAACATTTCTGGCCCCTAATCTTGATTTTTTAAGGGGTTTATTTTACGTCACTCTGTCTAGGAGAAGATAGGGTCCTCTTTGTCATGGGCCAGCTCAAACTGAATCCTCTTTGTTCTGAGCAAGATATATTTCTGTTCAACAAAGCAAAACAGTTTTGGCAGCTGTCTGGAGCTTGGGGCAGGAAGAAAGGAGGTGCCGCAGCTGTGCCTAGGGATGCCCAGCATCCCAGGACTTGCTCTCGTCTCATCTGAAGCGAGACATTCGGTGCCTCGCGGGGCAGTGTGGGCACGAGGCAGACAGAAAGTCCCGGGAATGCTGGCTGCAGCAACTCTTCCCCCTACTCTGGGGTTTGGCATCCCCCCCCCCCGACAAGTCTGGCCTATTAATAGAATATACAGGGCTTTATTTGCAGGCAAGCGTGAATAAGGTGGAGGAAGAACGAACGAAGGAACCATCCTTGGCCCCTTCTGCACAGCAGGGAAACCCACGTGGCGCCCACCCCGAGGGACAACGGCAGGTGCTTCTGCAATGAACCCCCCGGGAGCATCAACGTGCAGAGCCGCGCCAGAGGAAGAGCCCAGCACTCCCGCCATCAGGCTGCGAGGACGCTTCCAAAGAAGCCGCCTCCCAGGATGAAGACCTGCAAGCCTCTCCGGCAGGTTCCAGCTTAGAGCTCCAAAGGTCTCAGACACCTGCCCCCACCCCCACCTGCCACTCACGGCCTGACCCCCACGCACGCCACGCAGCCAGGCTCACCACTGGGAAACATGATCAGCGCTTGCTGGATGAGGCCGGCTGCGCGTTCGTGGGCGTGGCTTCGCTCCACATCTGGAAGGTCTTCCTGCTGGCTCAGAAAGAAATATGCCAGAGGGACGGAGAAGGCAAAGTTTGGGAGCTGGGACAGGTTCCGATGACCCTAGGAGGAGAAGGGGGAGGAGGGAGAGAAGCCACAAAGCATCTGGTTCACAACTCATTCATTTTATTCTTCAAATAAATCAGGTTTCATCAGGTTTGCAGACGGGACATACTAAGTCTATGTACGGATTTTCTCTTGCAGTTGTGAGAACTTGCATACTCCACTTCGTAATAGATTGATGTAAACAGTTCATGAAAAATTTGCCTGATAACGATAGCACATAACCTGACAAACAAGTTAGCTGATTCTTTGGGGTTTAGGAAATGCGAATTCTCGGACCTTGTGACTCCAGAGAGTGTGCAAACAGGCACCCAGTGAGGGAAAGATCAAAAAGGAAGGTCGAACGGAAGCTGGCCCACAACCTTCGAGGGAGGGGCCACTGCACAGAGACTAGGCGCCTTCACACATGCACGCACCCCGCCTCGGGCCTTCTCCCATTCAAAGGTTCCACTGCTGCAGCTGCAGAAGAGAAGGTTCCCTAGCCAGGCCCAGAGGCAGCTCTGCGTCTGCCGAGTGGGCAGAGAGCAGCCGGCTGGAGCTCGGCAGGCCGACCCGAGAGCGACGGGGGAGGCTGGCGCGGCAGGAGTGGTTCCTCCTCACCACCCTTTTCCCTGGTGGGTCACGTCTTTTTGGGCTGTAGGCCCGCGGGCAGGGATGGGCTGGTTTACTGGTTGCACATAAGATGCTCCAACAGCCTGACTGGATGAGGAGCGGGATAAAAATAGGAGGGAGGGAAGGAGAGCAAATGGTCCGACTTTCGCTAAGGCAGGCTGGTATATGTCCAGCCCTCCCCACACCCTCTCTCCCCACAGGCCCCATAAGCCCCCCGTTCTCGCTCACGCCTGGATTTGCTTCCTTTCCTCCCCCTGCACTCCATCAGTTCAAAAACCGCCGTTTTTTTCTGCCGCTGGCCCTTCAGTTTTTTAACTCTAGTTTTATTCTGTTTGACGCATCGCCGTGTTTCCATATTATGGCTTCTCGTGCTGCTGCACGCTATGGCTTCGAGGCCTGAACAAAGTAATTGAAGCTCAGCCTAGCGCAAGCCTCCTCGATTAAACTGGCCTGCTCTTGGCGGGGCCACTGCAGATGCAGCCCACAGAATCGCAGGCCTCCTCCTGGCTGATGTTGCTGGGGGGGCGAAGGGGGGGGCCAGGAGCGCAGCTCGGCGGAACGGCCTGCCCTGCCCTGCCCGCCTCCCGCGGGGCCTGCCGCTCCCAGAGACTCACCTCCCACTCCTGGAACACGCGCGTCAGGAAGGCGTACTCTCGCGCTCGGAGCGACAGCAGGTCGAGCAGCAGCAGCATGCACAGCGGGTCATTCTCTGGATCGAGGCTTCAGAGGCGGCGGGAAGAGGGGGGGCGGCAGAAACGGGGGGGGCGGTTACAGGGCCGTTACGCCTGGGGGTGGCAGCAGCCCCATGGCTAGGGAAACAGGCCTGCCTGGAGCAGAGACGGGCGCCCAGCCCAGCCCAGCCCGCTTGCCCCCCACCCCTCACTGCTGCGCCCCCACCCCTAAGAGTCCAGGAAACGCCTGAAGCAGCCCCTCGGGAAGCACCTCAGGAGGAGCTTGCAGAACTCCAGGGCGGTGCGCGGGCAGCCCCTCTTCTCCAGGAACGTCATGTGCTTGAAGAGAGCAAGATAGAAGGCCCTGGGAAGAAAGGCTTGGCGTCAACATGCCGGCCCCAGGCGAGCTT